AACAGAAGCCAATTGTGACCGTTCCTGCTGGCTTCTACCAAGGCCTTTGAGAAAGGAGTCCACAGCCTGCTGGACATGGGAGCCACCACCAGTATAGGTTAACACAAGCAGCAGGAATGGGACAAACATGGACAGGTGGGACCTGGAGCCCACACTCCAACCTTGTTACAAGCAGCCTGGCAGAGACCCAGCACCCTCACAAGTCACTCAGGGGTTGGCAACACACATCAGTGGGCGCCTGCTGCCAAGTCTGACAACCTGAGATGGATTCCCGAGACCCACATGATGGGAAGAGAGCCGACGAGCACCAAGCAGGGCGGGACTCACACAATCATGCAGAGCATCATGAACACATTCCACAGGGCGATGAAGATCCGGAAGTACCGCAGGCTCAGTAAGAACTCCCGGATGTTGTCTCCTGTAAAGCCAGAAAGCATGGTTCAGAAGGCCATCACCCTGCTCACTGCTACCCAAACACTGGCAGTTCCTGAACAATCACTGGGGATCACAAATCCCCAAAGACTCGGACTGGTGCTAGAAAAGGCACATGACTTAAGTCTGTCTAATAAGAGTCTGTCCTGGGACGTGGGCTCTAGTTATCAGGTCCAGGTTTGCTAGACTGAGAATTTGCCAGCTCTGGGTCCACAGCACAGCATAAACCCAGCACCTGCCACCACTCGTTTGCCTACTTGGTTGTTTTGTTGATTTTTTAAAATGTTGACTTTTCATTCATTTAATATTTAGATTTTTCAAGACAGGGTTTCTCAGTGTAGTACGAGTGGTCCTGAAACTCCCTCTGTAGACTGGGCTCATCTTAACTCACTGAGATCCGCCTGCTTCTGCCTCCTGAGTGCTGGGACTAAAGGCGTGTGCCACCACCAGCTAAAATGTTGACTTTTTTTTTTTTTGTTTTACTTTTTTTTTTTTTTTTTTTAAACATAGTAAGGCATGTTCAAGTCAGAGGGCAGACTAGGGGTCAATTCTCTCCTACAGTGAGAAACCTGGGGATTGAACTCACACCATCAGGATTGGTGGCAACTGCCTTTGCTGGCTGGACCATCTCAGTAGCCTCTGCAGGTTAGGCTTTGAGACTATGTCTCTCCAGGGCTGAGGCTGGCTCGGAGTCTGAACTGCCTCCACACTGCCTGCTTAGCCCCCCACCAAGTAAGACCTCAGAGGCCCATCACCTGTCCTGATTTTTAGCTGAGTTTTGTCTTGTTTTGCTTTGTTTTGTTTTTTGGAGACAGAGTACCACGTAGCCCAGGCTAGCCTTGAACTCACTATGTAGCTGAGGATGAGCTTGAGGTCCTGATCTTTCTCAAGCGCTGGGAGGACAGGTGTGTGCCAACATACCCAACTCACTGTTTTTATGACCCGGCAATAATTTCACATCTCAAGTGGGGGAAAAATAGAAAAAACATATTATGTGAGACACAAAAATGACACTCGGGCACAGTGGCACCTGTCTGTAACTCTAGCCCTCACCAGGTTTGCCAAGTTTGAACATCCTGGGCTATAATGAGCTCTTGCCTCAAAAAAATCAAAACAACAAAGTGAGCCTAGAGACTGACTTTCTAGAAACTTCTTCCAGGTCTGAAGTCAACCATCTTCGTTTCTCCAGAATCAAAATAACTGCTGATTAGGTGGTCTATGGGGTGATCCCAGGGCAGCACCTGCAGGCAAGGGCTGTCTGTGAACACCTGGCAAACAAGGTTGGAACCGTTGGCAGCCACCTGCCACCCTTGTCCTGCTCTTCTCACTGCGTGCGGGTTCCCATGGTACCCGCTTAGCAGCCAGCAGCACCATTTGTCCGTCTCCAGTGTCGTCTGCTACCGCACCACTGCGACAGGGACAGACACTAGGAGAGATGTTTAGAAAGCACCCGTGAGCAAAGCCCAAACCCTTGTACCAGGCTGGCGGGGTGGCTCAGCTACAGCACAGGTGTGTGTGTGCGCGCACGCGTGCGTGCGTGTGCTCGCATTTCTCATAAAACAAGAAAAACTTAAGACTGCTCCTCACAAACAGGACGGGAGACTGGGCCAGTCCCTGGTTCCTCAGTTCAGATACACAGGGAAAACAAGACATGTATACCTGCCCAGAAACGCTCCAGGACAACTGGGACATACGTCTGTCAGCCTCTTAGGCAGCCAATGAGAAGGCTCAGGTATTGAGGGAAAGAGGCACAGGAGAAGTGACTGCAAGTGCACATCTGCAGAGGGGACCCACCCGAGGAGCTGCAAGGGCTGACTGCTGCACACGCGTGGCCCCGCCCTTCTGTGAGGGTGCTCTGGCCAATCCCGTACTGTCAGCCTGTGCACACAACCTCCTATATGAATGGATGGCTAGGATGATAGCCAGGGCCTGGCTCATGTGCTCATAAAAATGCAGCCACACGGGTGAGACAGCTTAGTGGGTAAAGGGACGTGCCACCAAAGCTGGAACCTGAGGTCAGTCCCGTCCCCCACAGAGTGACCTGAGTTTGATGCCTGGGACCCACATGACAGAAAGAGAGAATGGACTTCTGCAGCTGTCCTCTGCATGACATCATGAGCACTCCCTCACACACAGGGCATGGGTGCAGGACAGGGGAGGGCAGGAGGAGCAAGGCTGGAGGAGGCCACTGCGACCGCACGCGGGAGAAGGCAGAGGCTCCAGATGGCCCACAGTCTGACCATTTCTGGGAGGGTAGACAGATGGATGGGAGGGTGGCAGGATAGACAGATGAGCAGGTGGGTGGGTGGGTGGAGAGGAAGGGGATGGGTGGGAAGGTGGATGGGTGGGTAGGTGAGTGGCAGAGAGGGTAGGTGGAGGGGTAGGTGGGAAGGTGGACGGGTGGGAGGGTAGGTGGGTGGGTCGGTAGATAAAGGGGCTTCCCCAGCACCCGATAATCCAGGAGCGGTGACAGGGCCCTGCAACCCCAGCACTCAGGAAGTAGAGACAGGAGAACCAGGAGCTTGAGCTATTTCAGGCTACAAAACCAACACCAGCCCAGGATACAAGAGACCGTGCCTCCAAAAAAGGTAGAAAAAAACAAAGAAAAACCCTGTTTCCAATCCTGACTCTTGCCTCCTGCTCCTTCCAGCCTCAGGCTTTGTTCCACCATGACTGGTCACTCAAAGGGCCTCTGCCACCCTCCTGTCACCCTGTGACATCCTCTGGCTGGGATGTGGTGGGCACACAATAAAGGTGATGAGCAAGGCACGGCACCCCTGCCAGTCCAACACCTAGGAGGCTACATGCAGCTCCACAAGTGTCTCAACAGTAGAAGGAAGAAAATGAGGGAGAACAGGGCCAGCAATCCGACCGTGTAGATAAGCAGGAAACATGCTTACCTGTGCTGGGTTCCCTCGACTCCTCCCCGAAGCCTTGTGTGTCCTTCTTTTTCCTATGGGAACATAAACACCTCTGGGTCTCCTGACCCTGTCACCCAGCGCAGAAGGCCAGAACCTACCTCCGACTCGCTGTGTGACCTGAAGCGACACCTCTCTCAGGGACACTATTCACCAGCCTAGCCATCACAGCTGGGATCACAGGGGGATCACAGTGGCCCCAAACGCCGGTGAAAGACATTTTTGAGTCATGAGCATGAGGCTCTTTGGAGGTGCAAGCAGAACCCAGGAACAGAGGGTGCAGATCTTTTCTTTAATACTAATTTGTGACTGAGAGGAATGAGTGTGACATGCTATACAGCATTTGTGTGGAGGTCAAAGGACAACCCACAGGAGTCGGGTCTCAGCTTCTACCATGCAGGCTCCGGGAATCGAACTTAGGCACTCAGGCTTGGCACCAAGCGCCTTTACCCGCTGAGCACCTCCCGGCCAAGAGACAACAGATTTAAACAGTCAAGGCCTTGGTAGGCAGCACGGAGGCGTGGCTAGAGGAGAACTGGAGGGGCGTGGACCACGCTCGGGGCGGGACTAGCCGTGACCTAGGGCGTGGGCGGGGCCTGGGCGTGGGGACGCCGCCCAGGGCGGCCTACTCACAGTTTAAAGTTGAGAACAGCCCCGGCGTTCATCAGCAGCGTCCTGTGGAGGGATAGTTACGGTCACTAAGGCCGCCCCCGCCCCGTCCGGCTGCCACTCTCCAGCCTCCGACACCCTCACTCTTATTACCCAAACAGCAGGATGTCTCCGATCATCCTTACAGCCGAGGAGGGCGCCCGAACCGGAAACGGAAGCCGTGGGGAGGGGCGGGAAGAGTCACACGAGGCGACCAATACCGAATCAACACTAACTGGGTTCCGGATGGAGCGTGACATCACCCATGGGGCGGAGTTTGAGGTGCGCACGCACGCTCCATGTTGCGTGCTGTGGAGTCCCCTTGGCTGCCGCTCCGCGTGTACAAGGAAATTGTGCCCTTGATCCCTGAGCCACCCCGGAGACGGAGTGCGGGCTTTGTGGGCTCCTTGGCTGCACGCCGGCTCAGAGTGCACACAGTTGCGGGTCAGGGTGTTCCCCGTGCCTGGGCTGTTCCCAGGGCCGTGGGCAATGACGGTCCTGATCGGACAGACCTTACAGAACAGGATGGGTGGAGGTTCTGACCTATGGGACCTAATGGGTCCCTACCTCAGTGTACCCTATGGGACACCAGGGTCTGGGCTGGAGTCCACAGAGGAGTTCTGTGGAGCCTCTTGAGACAAGATTCTCACTGAACAAACTAAATAGGACATGAGGGTTTGGGTTGAAGGCGCCTTGTGGGAGGCGGGGTCCTGACTTGCACATCCACGTGAAGAGACGGGCTCTTCAAGAATAAAACATGAAATTCTTGGCTGAGGTCCTCCGAGGCGGGGATCTGATCGATGGGCATCTTGGGGATAACAGGGATCGGGATTAGGCTAGTTCCACGGAGGAGAGACAGGGTCCTAACAGCTGCACAAGGACCGGAGTCCCGCTCGAGTGGGCTGGATGCAGGGGACAGACCCCTTGGCTGCGCAGAACCGAGCCTGCGCCTTGCGCTGGGTGGCGCAGGCAGCCTCATCGCCCCTCCTCTCCCGGGGGCCGGGCCGGGGGCGGTGCCTGGCAGCGCGGCGGGCTCAGTGGCGGGGGCGCAGTCGCCCGGGCGGCGGGCGGCGGGACGTACCGGGCCCGGGGCCGGAGAGGTACCCGCCAACGCCATGGACCTGATATCAGCGCTGAGCCTGGGAGAGCTAGCGCTCAGCTTCTCACGGGTGCCGCTCTTCCCGGTCTTCGACCTTAGTTACTTCATCGTCTCCATCATTTACCTGAAGTATGAGCCAGGTGAGTAGGGGCTCCAGGAGAGAGGTTGTCCATCTCTTGATGGAGGCGCTGAGGAGGCAGAACTGATCCTGGATAGGGAAGGAGGCAGAGGTGCTCCCACGCGCGCGCAGGTGGAGGAGGTAACCCCGGGGATGGAGGAGCTGTGCAAAGCGGGCTGCAGATGGGTAGGACGGAAGGAGAGGCGAGCGCTTGCTTACTGTAGGGAGGACAGGTGCTATGGGGTTTGGGTGGGGTTGGGGTTGGGGTTGGAAAAAAGGCTAGGAGTCGGGTTAGACAAGGCTTCGTGAACTTGAACTTGAGCAAGGGGCATTGATGGTGGCGAAGGTTGCAAGCAAGAGTTGGCTTTGCCCGGGCGAGGTCAGATGTTCTGGACGTCAGCTGCCATGACCTCCCTTCACACCCTTGGAATGACTGCCGAGTGACTATATAAGGACTGGCCATGCTGGGGGCTGCGATCAAGTTCGGGGAAAGTGACACCGGTGTCCCCTCTGTACCGCATCTCTTGGCATCCTCTTCTCCTCCCTTCCCGTTTGTCCGTTGGGCCAGCTCTGGCCTGGGATTCTTCCCATTTAGGGAGCTGAAGCCGTTCCAGGATAGGGCAACTTTAGGTCAGGCTGCTCTCAAGAATCACGGGAGGATAGACCCTACTTCTTTTATTTAAAAAACCAATTAATTACTTTTATTTATTTGTGTGTTTTGGACATGTGTGGAGGTCAGAGGACAATTTGCAGAAGTTGTTTTTCTTCGGTCATCACGTGGGCCTCCCGATGGAACTCTGGTGGTCAGACTTGTGGATGGGTTCCTTTGGCAGCAGAGCTAGCTCCTCTCTCCCACCCCTCCTCCACCCACTCTGTTTAATGAGGGCAAATGTAGCTCACTCTGGTAATGCCAGAACTCAGGACATAGAGGCACGGAATACCAAAGCTAGCTCCAGGACAGCCAGGGCTGCATGGCGCGTTCTTGGCCAATTTGACTACAGACCGTCTCAAAAATAAATAAACAGACAGCGCCTCCCTGGAGTGTTCTATTTTTACACAAGTTCAGCAGAAGCAATTGTGTCATGTTCAGCTCCCATAGCTTTAGTTATTTTACGGAACCTGCAAGTTTGAGGGACAGGGTAATTTCCTTTCAAGAAAGTATAGGACCCTTTGAGGGCGGATATGTAAATCAGTTCTTTCTGAGGTGACAAAAATAGCCTGCAATGTTTACTTAAATATGGGGACCTTCAAGATGGCCCACAAAATGGAAGGGGGAAAAAACTTAAAAAGGTGTTCCTGTTAGCTTCACATGCATTGTTCTCCAGTGCTTTCTTGGATGAATTTGTACAAGTGTCCGTACAAGCATAAATACATGCTCTTATGCAAAGGGGCTGGCGGCTTGTGAGGCATCCGGCTTGTGTTTTTCTTCCCTTTGCACAAACAAGAGTCTGTCTCTCCAAAAGCTGCTCTGGGGAACCTTGGCTTTGCAAGGCAAAGTTCTCACTTGTGCTTTCGTTTGGAGAAACTGGGTTTCCCATCAGGGGAATAATTCCTGGTGGCTTCTGCTGAACCCAGCATGCCCCAAGGTCCAACAGGAGACAGGAGTCCCCGGAATGGGCATAGTAAAAAGTGTGCTGAAAATGGGGGGGGGGGAATTCAGCATTGTTATTTTCAACGCTTTTTGTGTTTTTATTGTGTGTGTATTGGGGTGAGTGTGCCGGGATGTGCCGGGATGTGCATGCAGAGGGCAGAGGACAACGTGGCGCAGCTATCCTTCTTTCAGTGTGGATATGGGCGTGAGCCCAAGGCTTGGCAGCGAGTATCCTTGCCCAAAGTGCCATTCACTGCCCCCTTTATTTGTATTTTAAAATCTTTTCAGTTATCATCATCATCATTATTAAGCATGTGTGTATACATATGTGCCACAGAGGTCATGGAGGGGTCAGACGACAGTTTTGTGGAATCAGCTCTCGTCTGACACTTTTACATGGGTTCTGGGGATCACACTCAGGTGGTCACTGGGTAGCAAGGGCTGTTACCTCTGAGCCCTCTTGCCAACCCCTATTTAATAAAACAAAACTAGGGCTGCATGCCTTTAATTCCAGCACTTGAGAAGCAGAGACAGTTGGATCTCAAGATCTCTGGAGTTCAAGGCCAGCCTGATCTACAGAGAGAGTTCCAGGACAATCAAGACTACATAGAAAACCCTATCTTGAGAAAAACAAAACAAGACAAAACACCAAAAACTCCATAGTTCACTGCATAGCCCAGCCTGGACTCAAACTCAACGATCCTCTTTCTTCAGCCTTCCCTGTGCTCGAATTCTAGATGAGATCCATGCCCATTCTTGTCTGAATATTTCCGCAGGGGTTTCACAGTAAACCATCTGTGCCGCAAGTGTAGGTAGGAGTTAGAATGGTCCAGAAGGTTTGGGATTTATTCCTGAGAACTTCATTAGTTTCTCAACCTTACCTGCACAGCAGATTTCTAGGGTCTTTTAAAAGTCCATTTCCACCCAGGGTTTGTGGTACACACTTTTAACGCCAGCACTTGGGAGGCAGAGGCAGGTGGATCTCTGAGTTTGAGGCCAGACACTGTAAAATCAGCCTCAACCTAGTGCAGTGCCCACCTATTATCCCACCACTCAAGAAGCAGAAGCAGAAAGGTGGCAAGTTCAAAGCCAGCCTGGACAGCTTAGCCAGATCCTGTCTCAAAATAAAATTGTATTAATTTTTTTTATTATGTTTGTAGGTCAAAGGGCAATGCAGGTTTCAGGTCTCCCCTTTGACCACATGGGTCCCAGGGATTGAACTCAGGTCATGAGACCTGGTGGCAAGTGTTACCTGCTAAACCATCTTGCTGGCTCTCAGGGGGGAAATATCTATATCTGTGTGTGTGTGTGTGTGTGTGTGTGTGTGTGTGTGTGTGTTTTGTTTTCATTTTTGAGAAAAGGTTTCTCTGTGTAGTCCTGGATGTCCTGGAACTCACTCTGTAGTCCAGGCTGACATCAAATTCACAGATCCGCCTGCTTCTGCCTCTTAAGTGCTGGGATTAAAGGCGTGCGCCACCACAGCCTAGCAAGATTAATTTTCATTTATTTGTGTGTACTCAGCAAGAGGGACAGCCTAAAACCCCCCTGTGTGGGGCTGCAGCCTAGAACCCCCCCTGTGTGGGGCTGCAGCCTAGAATCTCCCGTGTGGGGCTGCAGCCTAGAATCCCCCCCCCCCCCCCCCCCGCCCCGTGTGGGGCTGGGGTGGGGCTTGTTGGTAGAGCTCTTGCTGAGTGTGCAGAAGACCGTGGATTCCATCCCCAGACTCTAAAACCCAGACTGGTTTAATCAGAATACCTGCATGCCTGCATTTGAAGCCCATCCCCACCCATGTTTGCTGCATATCTGCCTGGAATAACTCCTTCAATATTTGGGGAATAGGATGTCGAGGGTCAAAGTAAACTAATATGTAGTGAGCCCGCAAGTCCCAAGGGACTGAGACTCATACCCAGGTTCCTGTGACTCCCAGAATAACAGATTAGGCTACAAGAACTGCTCTTTTCACCCTTTCCCTAGGAAATCAAGGTGGTTGATGAGCTGCCAGGCAGCACATACCTGTTATTTCGGCAAACAAGACTGACCCAAAGAACCTTAGTGTAGGCCAGCCTAGGCTTTTTCTCAGCCAAAGATGGTGGCACATGCCTGTAATTCTAGCACTCAGGCAGAAGCAAGTGTATCTCTAGATTTTAGACCAGGCTGGGGTGCACAGTGAGTTCCAGGACAGCCAGAGATACTGTCTTCACTGCCCCCTCCCCCGCCCACCAAACAATAAAATAAAAAAGATGGTGAAGTATTCAGGAGGCAGAGATCGGGTCCTCAGGACAAGCTGGTTCCATGTGTGCAGACACGCACGTGCACAAAGCCCCTGCATATGCATCGTGTCGTCCCCTCATTCAAACATACATGCTCAACACACACACATACACATGAAACAAAAGGGACAGGTGAGGGCTTCTGAGGTGGGACCAGTCTGCTTACACTAACTCAACAGTCATACTGGCCCCCATGCCTCCATTTCCCCTTGCCTGTCTGTGACTTGGGCTCATTGGCAAATTGACCCCATTGCCCTGTTGTCTACAGACATGTAGTTCAGTGATATGGAGATCTGGATTTTGGGTGTCTGGGGAATCAGTAAGAAGTGGTTCTATGCACTTGGAAGGCTCTAGAAGAACATGGGGACTGGTGTTTTCTGGGTCAGGCTTTCCAGAGAGTTCTTTTGCAAGAAAACTCAGAGTGCAGGACACTGAACCGAACCAAAACTGCCCAAGAGAGCTTGTTCCAAATACCACTCAAGGGGATGGTTTCTAGAAGGGAGGAACTAAAATAAGTCAGGGCTGCTTGTTAAAGTGAGAACTCATCCCCAGCCGCTGTGCTGTGTGTTCCCCCACCACATCCATCCTGCAGCGGACGGAACCCAAGGCTGGGTGCCTGTTAGGAAAGCACCTCACCAACCGAGCTGTGTCCTTGGTACAAGTCTAAGCTGGTTTTATGTAGCCCAGGCTGGACTAAATTTGCTCAACAGCTAAACAGGACCTTGAACTCTTGATTCTGCTGCCTGCATCTCCCAAGTTCGGGGACTACAGACATGCCCAACAATAACAGACTTCATTGTTCTTTTAGGTCTCACTATGTAGCCCAGGCTGGCCTCAAACTCATGATCATCTTGATTCCAGCCACCACGCCTGGTTCTTGTGTGGTGGCGATGGAATCCAGGACTTCAGGCATGCTAGACCAGTCCTCTGCTCCCTGAGCTACAGCACCAATTAATAGACAAGTTTATTTTTTAAGCTGAAAAATACAAAGCTTTGGGGCTTCGGTTGTGGCTCCTGAGCTATGCTGTTCTAAGTCTGTGCAAGGAATAGCACCAAAAAACTATAAAGAGGGCAGTTTTTACATCCCCGCAGGCCTCCCCAACCACTAATCTTAAGGACCAGGAGACACTGGGGATTCTAGGCAAGGCTCCACCCCTGAGCCACACCCCTAGCCTCTCACTGGGGGATTCTAGGCAGAGGTGCTACTGCTGGGCTATTCCTTGAGCTCACAGTGGGTGGATTTTTCTGGTGTGTGAAATTTCCACCCCCCAGATATTTCAATCTCATGCTAGGTCCCAGAATATCTCTGGCATAATTGCTAAGGGCTAAGCAATTTCTTTTTGTCCTGGTAGGCAATCTTTGATAGAGCCAGGGAGCCTAGGCTTCTCCAGGTTCTAAGTGACTGAACCTGACATCTCAGCAGTGGGGAGGTTGAGGCAGGAGGATGGCAAATTAACAGCTAGCCTGTATTAGAGTGAAATGCCATATCAAAATGAATAAAGAGGGCTGGAACAATGGCTCAGCAGATAGGGGTACAGGCTGCTCTTGCAAAGGATCTGGGGTCCCTCGCAACCACCTGTGATCCAGCTCCAAGGAATCTTACGCCCTCTTCAGGCCTCGACAGGTACTTATTAACAGGATCCACAGACACATGTACATGCAAGCATTTATACACATAAAATAAATCTTTTCAAAATAAATAAAGATAATGAGTTGAACCATTATATCTTGAAGACTATATGAGCTCATCCCTCTGCCTTTTGACAACCAAGGAGACAGGCTGGCTGGAGGCTGGTGGCAGACACTTGCTCAGGGCTACATAGGCCTGAGTAGCAGAGTGAGGGGGTCAAGACTTTACGTAGGAGGTGCTTAGGAAGCAAAGCCTGTTAGCTCCTCCCCTTCAGCTGTCTCTAGGATGGTCCCAAAGGGCACAAGAAACACCCTGGAATAAGAGTGCCCCTGGCAGCTATTTTTAGAAGCACATGCAAGTGTCTTTTCTGCTTGGCAGGAGGGAAGGCTTCGGTAGCCTTGACCCTGTGGACTCACCAGCTGCTCTGGGATTAGTTCTCAGGGGAAGTTGTACTTTAAATAGATGCAGGAAGGGGTGTTCTTTCCCCTCCCCTCCCCTCTCCCTCCTCTTCTGTCCCCTTTCCTCTCTCTCTCCTCCCCTCCTCTTTTTGGGTCCCAAGGAGCTGAGATTATAAGTATATACCAGGGCACTTGACAAGGCTTGTTACGCTTCTGTGTGTTCCTGAGTACATGCATGTGCGTGTGTGTGCGGGAGTTGGCTCATTCTTCCCACCATATGTATTCCATAATCCATCTTGGTGGGTGAGCTGTCCCCGCTGAGCCTCCTTGCCAGCTTCTGGGTCTCATGAGTTCGAAGGATCTGCATTCCAGTCCTCACGGTCGCACAGCTGCTCACCTGCCCTGGTTGCTCTCTGCGGCCATTAGTAAACCTTGTTTTGTCCACACTGAGTGGAGTTTCTTAAAGGTTGCATTTATGTTTTGAAGTGATTTTATTTGTTTGAAATGATTTATTTATTATATATGTGTATGTGTTTGTGAGTGTGTGTGGAGAGCACGTGTAGGCTCGGTGACATCTGGGGAAGTTGGTTCTCTCTACTGTGGGGTTCTGGGGATTGAACTCATCAGACTCGGAGGCGGTTGGCCTAGACAGGACCGTCTTGCTGGCTCATTTCCACTGTGATGACAATACACAGATGTCTTTGCTGACAAAGAGAAAAGAGGTTCAGGGGCTAAGGCTATGGCTCAGTGGGAAGCCCTGGGTTCCATCCCCGGCACTGAAGGTTGGCTTGGCTCAGTTTGAAGCCTGAAAGTTTAGAAGGGAGACTCCCTGTTTGGCCTTGTGGGAAATCACAGGGCAGTAGACACTCAGGGGAAAGGCAGAGGTGGCAGAGGCCAGCAGGGCCACCCTGGCCAGGTTGCTTTTTTTTCCCCCTTTGAGACAGGGTCTCATGTACCTCAGGCTAGTCTAGAATGTCCCCTGTAGCGAGGGATGACCTTAAATTTAAGATTCTTGCCAGGCAGTGGTGGCACACACACCTTTAATTCCAGTACTCAGGAGGCAGAAGCAGGCAGATCTCTGTGAGTTCGAGGCCAACCTGGTCTACAAAAGCTAGTTCCAGGACAGGCTCCAAATCTACAGAGAAACTCTGTCTCGAAAACAAACAAACAAAAAAAACCTTAAGATTCTCCTGTTTCCCTTCCTGTGTGCTGGGATTACAGGCCTGCATCAACCACACTGACTTTATACGGTGCTATGGGTGGAACCCAGGACTCCAGCGTGCTACCCACTGATCCCCAGCCCAGCTATGCCTCTGAAACCACCACATTCTCCCAGGATGTATCTCCAGCAAGCTAGCCTTGGTATCCCAGACCTAATTCCATACCCTACACCCAATTCTTAAAGGATCCTCACCTCTAATCCTAACACCTTGGAGACCACTTTCCCAGTCCATGACCCTTGGGGGTCTGATCACCTTCTCCACCAAATGAAACTGGTCAGAAAAGGAGGGACTCTCCAGTATAAGCCGTCACACCAAGGGACACCCAATGGTGGCTCAAGGGTGTGGCTTTATGAGATGGGGATGATGTTAACTTAAGAATAGACCCTGACCTTTAACAAAGACTGTGGAGATCTACAAATATTGCTATTATTTATTTACTCATTTGTTTACTTATTTGAGACAGGGTTTCTCTATGTAGCCCTGGCTGCCCTAGAATTTACTCTATAGACCAGGCTGACCTTGAACTCACAGATCTGCCTAAGTCGTGGACCACCATGCTAGGCTGCTTTTATTTCTTGTGTGTGCGGGGCGAGTCAGGTCTCCCCCATGCCAGTCCTGGGATGGAACACAGCTCATCAGGTTTGGTGGCAAGTGCCTTTACCAGCTCAGTGGGCCCTGATGAGATTAAATGAGTTTTTCCTATAAATGCCTCACCCCATCTGAGACTTCAGATGGCTTCCTCTGTAAGTACTGGCTAATCGCCACTGCCTCTTCCCTACCTTGGTGGTAGAACTCACGCTCTGCTTGCAGCTGGTTTCACAGGGGAAGCCCTGGGTTTAATCTCCAGCACCCAGAGGGTTAAAAGGGCAGCCTGCCTGCAGGTGTTGTCATGCTCCTGTAGTCACTCTTCCTGCCTTGCAGGAGCTGTGGAGCTGTCCCGGCGCCACCCGGTGGCCTCCTGGCTGTGCGCCATGCTGCACTGTTTTGGGAGTTACATCCTGGCTGACTTGCTCCTCGGGGAGCCCATCATTGACTACTTCAGCAACAGCTCCAGCATCCTGCTGGCCTCTGCGGTGTGGTAAGCACCTGGAGGCCCTGGAAAGGCTGAGCCTGGGGCCACGGAGGAGGGAGGTTAAAGGAGCAAGGACCCCAGTAGCCAGATGCTTCCCAGGATCTCCTGCTGGGCTATCCTTCCTTCTGACCCCAGGTCTTCTGTCCTCAAAGGTACTTGATTTTCTTCTGTCCCTTGGACCTCTTCTACAAGTGCGTCTGCTTCCTGCCTGTGAAACTCATCTTCGTGGCCATGAAGGAGGTGGTGAGGGTTCGGAAGATTGCCGTGGGCATCCACCATGCACACCACCACTACCACCACGGGTGGTTCATCATGATCGCCACTGGCTGGGTCAAAGGTAAACAGAACTATGACAAGGAAGATAAACTATCCCCACAGGGGTCCCGTGAGACAGTCCAGTGAGGTGGTCCAGTGAGGTGGTCCAGTGAGATGGTCCAGTGAGGCGGTCCAGTGAGATGGTCCAGTGAGAGACAGTCCAGTGAGGCGGTCCAGTGAGATGGTCCAGTGAGGACAGTCCACGGAGACGGTTTAGTGGTAAAGAGCTTGCAGCAAAAGCCTGTTGGCCTGTTTGATTCCTGGACCCACGCAGGAAAGAACTGACTCCCACAGGTTGTTCACAGCTCACTCACCACATGGGCTCCGTGGCCCATGCGCCTACACACACCATGTGCAGTAACAATGAAGTTAATAATAATAGGGGCAGCAAGATGGCTTAGGGGAAGAGTGCTTAATCCCCAGAACCCACACAGTGGAAGGATAGAACCAGCTCCTGAGAGTCGTCCTAGTCCTCTGACCTCCACACGTGTGTTACGGTTTGCTCATGTACGTGGACACACTCCCCACTACCCCAAAAAGTATAAGTAATATGTAACTTTTTTTTCAGACAGAGTCTCTCTTTGTAGCCCTGGCTGGCTTGGAGCTCATTATGTGGACCAGGCTGGCCTTGAACTCACAGAGATTCTCCTGCCTCTGCCTCCCGAGAGCTGGCTGAAAGTGTGCACCACCATAATTAGATAAATGTAATAAAACAACTGTAGGGGCTGGCGGGAAGGCTCGGTAGGTAACAGTGATTCCTGCCAAACAAGGTACACTCAAGCCTTGGATCCCACAGAGGGGAACGAGAGACCTCACTTCATGGTTGTCCTCTGACCTCTGCATTACAGCTGTGGCATGCTGATACTCATACACAAAATTAACAAATAAATAATAAAATCATAAAAATAAATTATTATTTTTTTTCAGTAAGTGAGATCACAGCAGTTAGCTGGGAGTAAGGGTGGGCTCCTGTCATCCCAGCATTTGTAATGATGAACCAGGGAGGACTAGGGGTCCTGCCAGCCTGGGCACAGGGAGGTCAGGACAGTCCCTTGTGGCTGGGGACACATCCAATTGCTTCTTGCTGGTTTGCCCCGACTGTGCCGTACGAACCTGGGCAAGGCTTTGCTGTGAGCCTCATTTCCCCAGCTGTCAGGGATGGTCTTCCCCAGACTCAGAGACCCCTCATGAAGAGAAGGCCCTTTGTGTCCTTGGGAACCGAGGCTAGGAGAAACGGGGCGTGCGGTGGCAAGCTAGTTCAGTGGTGCCCTGCCCACAGGCTCTGGTGTTGCCCTCCTGTCCAACCTGGAACAGCTGCTTCGAGGAGTCTGGAAACCGGAGACCAATGAAATCCTGCACATGTCCTTGTAAGTACCCCCCTGTGGCCTCTGCCCCTCCTCCCCTGGAGACACTGCTGGGGTAAGGACAGGAAGACTTTCTGCAGAGGTGATATTTGACTGGGGTTTTGAAGAGCGAGTAGGGGTTTTCTGGCTACAAAAGACTCCCCACCCAGAGCCTAGCATCACTGCTAATTGTCAGGTTAGAAAAGGTGCATGGGCAGGGTGCAGAACGTGAGTGGAGGGAAGGAAATGGAGTGGGATGGAGACTGGACAGGCAGACAGACAGACCGTGTGGTGTGGAGGGCCAAGGGAATGGTGGGTGGAGCCATATAGCATGTATGACCCTTGCAGGACCAGTGCGTTGGGCCTGACTCATTCTACTTCTCTTTATTCCTTTATGTGTTTTTTTTTCCATTTTCCTGTGTGTCTGTGTTGTGTGCACGTGTGGGGGCACATGAGTACGTGTGTGCATGTATATGTGCAGACCTTGGGTTGTTCTGGGATCATCAGTTACTTTCCCACCATATCTGAGGCAGGGTCTCTCAGTCAAACCCCAAGTCCCTGGTATGCCCAGGCTCACTACAGCATGGAGCCATCTCCCCAACCTCCAGTTGTTTAGTGCTGGGGAGGGCAGTCTGCAGGTCACCTCTCCCCGACATGTGACCTTTACTCACTGTCCAGGGGTTTGACTGTCACATCTGCCTCCTTAGCCTTTTGTATGGTGACCTTGGCTTCTAGCACCTGCTGAGCAGATGTGACCCCCCTGCACCCAAACCCCATAAGCCACCAAGGTCACACTCTCCACACCTAGCTCAGGTGCTCAGCTGGCTTCTTCACGTCCAGTCCCAGATGGTGCCCCAATGGGGCACCCGCATTCTGCAGGGTCTTTACCCCAACTGACTTAATCTAGATAATCTCGTGCCAAGAGATTTGCCTCTGGGTTAGTTTTTGTTTTGTTTTTCAAGACAGGGTTTCTCTGGGTAGCCCTGGCTGTCCTGAAACTTGCTCTGTAGGCCAGGCTGGCCTCGAGCTCAGAGATTCTCCTGCCTCGATGCCTCCTGAGTGCAGGATTAAAGGCATGCACCACCACCACCATTGGGCTCCAAGTTGATTTTTGGGTTTTGTCAAACTGAAAGATTCAACATTACCAATCCAGGAATGGCGGTGTGCTCCTTTAATCCCAGTACTTGAGAGGCAGAGGCAGGAGGATCTCTATGAGTTCCAGCCAGCCAGAACTACACAGTGAGAACCTGTCCTGAAATAAAAGAAGATTCCCCATTATCAGGGTCTGTCACCATCTATACATCTGCAGTCAAGAGATGCTGGTGAATACGGGCTGGAGCCATGGCTCAGCAGTTAAGAGCACAGGCTGCTCTTCCAGGGGATCCGAGTTTGATTCCCTGCACCCACATGGCATCTCACAGGCTTCCATAACCACATTCATGGGGAATCAGATGCTCTCTTCTGGCCTCCACAGACCCTGCATACATACGGTTCACAGACATGCATGCAGACAAAATACCCATAAGCATTAAATTAAATAAGTAAGACTTTAAAAAAGAGAAAGATTCTGGGTTCAAGAACTTGCATTGGTTTCTCTAGGGTTCACATTTATAGACAGCCAGGCGCAGCAGCACACCCGTCACCCCGTGCTGGTGTAAGAAGCCAGGTGCAGCAGCACACCTGTTGCCCGGTGCTGGTGTAAGAAGCCAGGTGCAGCAGCACCCCGTCACCCCGTGCTGGTGTAAGAAGCCAGGTGCAGCAGCACACCCGTCACCCCGGGCTGGTGTCTTAGCTGTTCTACAGTTCCTGGCACAAGACAGCATGACCAAGTCATTCATTGGAGCTTAGGTTCCAGAAGACTGAGTCTGTCATGGTGGGAGACCTGAGCAAGCAGGGGCGTGGCAGCAGGTACAGGGAGCTCAGGGTTCACATCTTGAACCACAAGCAAGAAACTGAGGTGGCTAAGGCCCTTAGCTCTCAAAGCTAGCCCCAGCACTTCTTCAACAAGGCTACACTTCCTCAACCTCCCCAACAACTCCACCACTGGAGACCAGAATGGGTACATTCTCATTCAGATTATAGCTGGGAATGCAGAGACACTGCCAGCCCACCTAGCAAAATTGGTAGACTCCAGGTTGGGTGAGTGAGAGACTTTGCCTCAAAAATAGGGTGCTAGGCCTGCGAGACAGCTCAGTGGGTGAAGGAGCTTGCAGCCGAGCCTGATGACTGAATTCAGTCCCCAGACCCTACATGATGGAAGGAGAAACCAGCTCCCTAAAGTTGCTTACATGGGTGAGAGACAGAGATGCTGGGGTGGGAGCAGAGGAAGGCCATGGGTGAGGAGGGGCAATAACTCAGCTCTGGGTGAGAGTACAGATCTTTCCGTCAAAAACAGTGGCCCTAACTTCATAATAAGAGCCTTGGAGACCCAGGAGAGAGAATCCTTTTATTTTACAACCTTGGGAAGTCAGGAGTCATCATAGGGAAAAGGCTAAGATGGCTGTCACCCTGGTTTGGTCACAGACCTTTTCTGTTTCCCTGACTGTATGTCACCACCCCATGAATTCCTCACTAGCTGAGTTCTTCCCCCTAGCATAGCTTCAACCCCAAATTCCCCAACCTCAATGGGCCTGAGCCACCCCCCCAAGCTGTCTCATACATGAGCTCAGACCATAACCCCCCAACCCAACATAAACTAAAATGCTCCCTGGTAAGCAGGCCCCAGCCACCAGCCAGGAAGACGGGTCCAGTGCCTCCTGGCCAGCTGTGACTCTGCTGGGCTTTTAGTGAAGCCTGAACTGAGAATGGAGCATAGTGACCCATGTCTTACACCCCCAGCCCCACCAAAGCCAGCCTGTACGGAGCCATTCTGTTCACCCTGCAGCAGACGCGCTGGCTCCCCGTGTCCAAGGCCAGCCTCATCTTCGTCTTCACCATGTTCATGGTGTCATGTAAGGTAAGTCCCTGGGATGGGACACTCGCAAGAATTTCATCGGGAGGTTGAGGGATGAGGGTTGAGGAAGAGAATGGGCCTTGCAGGTGGGGTGGGGGTGCTGCTCCCCTGTATGAAAGACCCCGGGGACAGGAAGCTGAAAGCCACTGTGACGGAAGCAGAAGGAACTTGGGCCTTCCCTGTCTTTCTGCCGAGAATGCTGCCCCTAGCTCCCCAAGCGTAGAAGATCCTACCTAGGGATGGTCCAGCCCTGGAGAGGACCGAAGCCCTGGAAAGGGAGTGAGTCCTGCTGTGGAGGGGCAGGAGGATCAACATGAGTTTGAGGCCAGCCTGGGCTATATAGTGGGTTCCAGACCAGCGAGGGTTACCTAGTGACATTCTGCCTCAAAAAATCAGAACAAACCCCCTGGACCCTGTGGCAGGGAAGAGGGAGGGCCCAGGATCAGGAACTCAAGGTCATGTTCAGCTACACAGCAAATTTGGGACCTGCCTGGGCTATATAAGACCCTGCCTCAAAATACAACACAAACTAAAAGCAAGCAAGCAAAGACAAGCAAATGGGGAAAGAGGTTGAAGAGAGAGGATGGAAGGGTGCGAGGGAAGACAGGAGGGAGAGAGAATGATGCTCAGAGCTCTTGAGTGTGGTGGCATGGGGGTCTGGGGGTGGGGTACTGTGAGGGACTCTTCCCAGCTTCAGATGATTGACACCTGTGTTCCCACATGAGGGAAGGCAATGCCTGTCTCTTATGTTCAGACTTGGCTGTATAATGCACAGGATGCTAGCCTGAGCTACATGGTACCCTAACTCAACACCAGCAACAAAATTAGCACCCAAGTGTAGGTGTTGGGAGGGTGACCACTGGTTGCAGCATCCCTGAAAGTTGGGGCTCACGAGCTTGGAGGTGTGAGAAGCCAGAGGGCTGGGGCAGGCCCACTCCCCCTCACTGCTCCTTTGTCCGCCCCCTCCCTTGTGTTTCTTGGGCTCCCTTTAGGTGTTCCTGACGGCCACGCACTCCCACAGTTCTCCATTTGATGTCCTGGAGGGCTACATCTGCCCGGTGTTGTTTGGGGCAGCTTGGGGAAGTGACCATCACCATGACAACCATGGAGCACCACATAGTGGAGGCCTAGGCACCCAGCACGCAGGTCTGCCTGCCAAGGCCAGGGAGGAGCTGAGTGAAGGCTCCAGGAAGAAGAAGACCAAGAAGGCGGATTAAGGAGCAGCCCCAGACATCCACGGGATGTTGGGGAGAAGGGTGTGGACTCAGAGAACCTCAGAACTTAGGGGCATACAGAACTCAAGAGCTCCCCTCCACCAGCCTCTACTTCCCTCTCCGCGGTTTGGAGCCATTAGCTGCTCACAGGGCTGAGATGCGAGGGTAGAGGAGTTGGGTAGGAGTGAGAAGCCCTGCTTTCTGCTAGACCCCCTCATGACATCACAGCCTTGGGGTCACACCATCTTCACAGTGCCAGCCACGGAAGCCCTGGCCAGTCGACTCTTGGTTTTCTTTCTTTGTTCTTTCAAAATATATCTTGTAACCAAAAGCCACATGGAGCCTCAGTTAGCCAAGTTTTAAGGACATGCTGGGGTGCCCCGTTCTTTCCAGCCAGGACCTCCCTGTGACTCCTTCTGGGCATCTCGGGGCAATTACCTCCTCTGAGCCTCCTGCTTCCTCTCAGTAGCGTGGAGATCCCAGGTCTTCCTGTGTCCAGAGGGTAGAGAATGTCAAGTTTCCTAAGCAGCATCCTGGGCCAGGGAGCCTGCGTGAAGGATGGCACCATGTGCTTTGTACGTTAGGCCTAGGATGTTTGTGTTTGGGCCCAGAAGGTCTCACAAGTTACTCCACTGAGCAGACAGATCCAGGGCTAACCACAGGCAAAAGGAAGGGAGCCACCTTCATGCGGGGCAGAATGCCCAAGAGCTAACAGCCTTGCACACTCATAACTGGGCCCTGGACACAGCAGGTGTTCCTCATGCCAGTCAGCATCGTTCATTCATTCAGTCATTCAACAAACATGGATCCACACCTGCTCTGTGTGCAGTGTTGTGCTGCTGCTCGGGCACAGTGGGCCTTGGACAGGGCAAGGGTTGTGATAGCCAAAGTCACCAGGACGTCTGGGAGAGGTGAGAGTGGGGCACGGCTGGGCTTAGGCTTCTGGAAGTACCCCGTGTTGCCTTTTTGCGAGAAAGCATCTCCTCATACCTGAGCCTGGAACTCCTGGGTTTCCCCCTCCTGGTGTCGATCAAAGCTCGGTGTGAGTCATCAGACAATAAATGTGTGAGTGAACCAAGCGACCTCAAAATGTAGGAATGCCGTGGGGTCTGTTCTTAGGGACACTGGGGCCTCTGGGACAGGAGGAAGACCTGAAGCCTGCCATGCAGGGTCAGGCACGTCCATCTTCTTCAAGACACTGGAAAGGTTCACAGTATGTAGGAAGCTGAGGCAGGAGGATGACCACTTCCAAGCCAGCCTGAATTACCAGAGTAACACCAAAAAGAAAGGAAAAACGCAGGACAGAGGGGGAAGGTATGGAGGTGTGGAGGAGGAGGGAGCATTGCCAGTTAGCACTGTCGCTTTCAGGAGTTGCCCAAAGGGGCCTGGTGGTCCTGCCCCCGCCCCCCCCCCCCCCCCCCCCCCCCCCCCCCCCCCCCGTCTTCATCCTGCCTTTTCACAGGAGCTGAAATGTGGTCCTCGGCCCTTGGCAGCACACCCCAGGCATGGGAGCCAGGTGGGTTTGTGCTTTACCGAGCTGGAGCCTTTCCCTGTTCCTGCTTTTTCATTTGCCTAGGAGTTTACCTAGGATGGCAGAACCTGTGTATAAACCGTGGAGGCTCTGATCTCGGCTGGACTCAGAGCAGCTGAGGGGATTACAGGGGAGCCGCCTGCTGCCCTCCACCCCAAGGCGTGGGGATCTCATATTCTGACTGGACAGACAGGATGGAAATAAAGAGCCTCCCAACCTATTTTGGGAAGAAGGTGTGATAGCCTCTGGCTGGCTTGTGGTCAGGGATCCTTGCCAGGCCCAGCTGCTTTGGTGTCCACGAACAGATGCCGGGACTCTGACAGCTGGATCTTAAATTCAGGTTAATTATAGGATTCAAGCATGGTAGGATCTGTTGTCTGATACCAAGAACAGGGTTCTTCGTGTCATTTAAAAATTCTATTTAATAGTCCTTGAGGAATAGCTTAATGGTGGAGACCCTGTCTAGAATCCCCCAGTGAGGGGCTGGGGTGGGCTCGGGGTGGAGACCCTGCCTAGGATCCCCAGTGAGGGGCTGGGGCGGGGCTCAGAGTAGAGCCTTTGTCTAGCATACACAAGGCCCTGGGCTCCATCTACACCACCATATACACACTGAAAGATATAAGATATACATTCATACTGTGGAGTACAGTGTCAAACTGATTTGTTGGTTTTGTTTGTTTGTTGTTTGTTTTGTTTTGCTTTGCTTTTTTTTCTTTTCGAGACAGGGTTTCTCTGTGGTTTTGGAGCCTGTCCTGGAACTAGCTCTTGTAGACCAGGCTGGTCTCGAACTCACAGAGATCCTCCTGCCTCTGCCTCCCAAGTGCTGGGATTAAAGGCGTGCGCCACCACCGCCCGGCTGTTGTTTGTTTTGAAACAGGGTTTCTCTGTGTAGCTCTGGTTGTCCTGGAGCTCACTCTGTAGATCAGGCTAGCCCTGAGCTCACTAAAATCCACCTGCCGCTGCCTCCCAAGTGCTGGGATAAAAGGCGTGCACCACCATGCTCAGCCTCCGGTTTTTATTTTTTAATAAAGCAGTGCCTCACTGTGTCCCTGGCTAACCTGGAACTCTGTGTAGACTAGGCTGGCCCCGTGTGTGGGTCCTACACTCACATCCACTCCCAGTCTCCAGAACTCTTCCAAGTGTGGGACGGAATCCTGGACCCTGCGCATGCTCAGCTAGTGTCCTGCTGCAGAGCCCCGCCCTCTCGCATTCTCTGCCTCTACACTCGCTCTACTTTCCCTGTTTCATCTGTTTTCCCTGATGTCTAGCGATATCCTAGGAGTCTATAGTATCCCCCCCCCCCACACCATCCTCTTTCACTTCGCAGAATGTCCTCCAAGTTCATCTGATTTTTACTTTAAGATGGGTCTCATTGTAGCCCTGCCGCCGCCTCTAAGGGCTGGTACTGTAGGTGTGCACTCCGTTTCTCTTTAAAGACGAGCAAGGAACACCAGAGGACTTAGCTGGGAACCAGCCCAGCACATGCTGGCCCCTCTCCCGGTCCCCTGGCCTCCTTCCAGCAGCCACCGCATGCGTGGGCAGACCGCGTTTACAGTGTGGGATTTCTCTGCTGGCGTCCGCCTGGGGCGGCTGGGAAAAGTCCCAGCTCAATTAGCAAAGGAAACCAACATCTAATTGAGCTGGTAGAAGACAGCAGAGAGGTCAGAGGTCAAACATAGGTTCCTGGCAGGCGTCATCGTTTTACAGAACTGGTTGGGAACCCGGTGAGCTCCTAGGCAAATGGAAATGCTGAACCAAGGAAAGGCTCCCGTGCCTCGGGTGTCGCCTGCCAAGCATAAGGGCCACTGAGCATCGATACCCCAGATACTATCCCAGAGCAGACTCAGCGTGTACATGGAGCCCAGGTTCTTTCTTCGCCTTCTTAACAAACACGGCTTCTCACTGTGTCTTTAAAGTTTTATTGGTGTGTGTGACCCCTGACTATTTGTACCGCATCTGTAGCTGCTCTTGGTTGTCACATCAGGGTTAAGACATTTCAATCTCCTCAACAGTTGGAAGTATAGATTTTTTTTTTTTTTTGGTCCTTTCTAGAAAAGAGTTGGTAACTCCTAGACTGGCTGGATGGTGTGTGTGTGTGTGTGTGTGTGTGTGTGTGTGTGTGTGTGTGTGTGTGTAGAGACAGAGACAACTAGCCATACCTACTCCAGTTCTAAAGAATCTGATGCCCTCTTCTGGTCTCCTCAGGTACTGTGTGCATATGGAGCACAGATGCATGCAGGCAAAATAAAATACAAATAAAATAAAAATAAATACCCAGGCACACGCCTTTAATCCCAGCACTCGAGAGGCAGAGACAGACAGATCTTTGTGAGTTTGAGGCCAGCCTGATCTATAGAGCGAGTGCCAGGAGAGGCTCAAAGCTGCACAGAGAAACCCTGTCTCGAAAAAACAAACAAACAACAACAACAACAACAAAGAAGAAAAATAAATAAATCCTGATATCATTTTTTTTCTGAGACAGGATTTCTCTGTATAACAGTCTTGACTGTCCTGCAACTTGCTTTGTATACCAATCTGGCCTGGAATTTACAGAGATCTGCCTGACGAGTGCTGGGATTAAAGACATACGCCGTTATTGCCTGGCAGATGTCTTTTTGAAAGACACATTGCCTTATGGTTACTAAGACCTGGCCGGTCCCTTTTTTTTTTCTTCCTTCCTTCCTTCCTTCCTTTCTTGTTTGTTCTTTTTTTTTTTTTTTTTTTTTTTTTTTTTTTTTT